TCATCGGGGGAAAATTTACAGCCTGTTCGGCAAGCTATCCTTGCTCTTAGCTGGGAATGGTCAGTGACTTCCCGAAGGTATCCTGAAAGCAACGCTTTTATTAGGGGTAGAGAAAGTTCGGTAGAGAAAACGTGATGCAAACTATTATAATTTTTACATAGCACGCGAAAAGGATTGTGCATAGCGTAGTCTGTTGTGCACGTAGATAAGAATAAGGGGCGATAATTTCTAGTTGGTCTAGCCGGAACAGAGAATTGAAGACGCCCTAACAGAAAAGGAGAATCTATGTCGCCAATAATCAACTTATGTATAAGGACAACACCGAGAATTGTCCTACCGTTGGTTAACGACGGAAGGTCAAGAAGAAGCAGCCTGCTGGAGTAGGATAACAACCGAAATTTTGGGTTCCAATTTAAACCTCGTAAGGCAAAAATCAGAAATTGCTTCAATACGATCCTGGCTATCGTTGTACTGCGGAGGCCAGAAGCAAGCTCAGTATTCAAGGGTAGGCCGAACAAGAAAAATGCACAGATGTTTCGCTATAAATAATAATAAATAAATAATAATAAATAATTATAAGGATCGTTAAACTCTGTAGACCATAGTTTAATGAATCCAAGTACACCTTTTGGCTCATTAACGATGGTATCTATGTAAAGATTGAAACAGAGCTTATAATCAAAAAGAACGCCTAGATCCTTAACTGTTAGTATACGTTGCAAAGGGGTATTGTCGATTGCATAACTAACAAGATAAGGTAGTATGATTGTAGTATGATTAAATGTCATAAACATACACTTTGCACAATTCAGATGCAATTGATTGGCCGAACACCAAAGTTGCATAGCGGTCAAATCATCTTGAAGACGAGAATGATGTGGGGGTTAGTGTATGATAGAATTAGTTTCACATCGTTCGCATACATGAGTATATGGGCATGTGATATAACAGAGGGGAGAGCATTTATTAAAACAGTAAAGAGTAAAAGTTCAAGAAAATTACCTTGAGAAACACCAGAAGTAACGTGAACCTGTTCAGAGGTAGTCAGCCTCAGCATTGCTCTTTGGGTCCTACCTTTTAAATAAGAATTAATACAAAGCAAAATAGACGGAGGGAAACTTTTCGGTCACGTTTAAAAAGTAAAATGTCATGGTGCACAGTGTCAAACGCCTTACTGAAGTCAGTGTAAATGACATCAGATTGCATTTTCGAAAGAAAAGCATCATTTACCAAGGAACTAAACTCAAGCAGGTTGGTCGTGGTTGACCGATTCTTTACGAATCCATGTTGAACAGATGAAGCAACTGATTTGCAGAAATGCTGCACGTTCGAAGTGATTATTTTTTCAAAATGATTAAGGAATAGCGGACAGTTTTGCAAGGCCCCTGTAATTTTGTATATCAGACTTTCCACCTTTCTTGTGAAGAGGAATGAGATAAGATATAAGATCCTTTCCAAGGAGATGGAAAGACAAACAATTCAAGGGATAGATAAGAAAGCTTTAGGAATGGATAAAGAAGGGAAGAACTTCACTCCTTGAATAGACAACTAGGAATATTGTCAGGCCCAGGAGAGAAAGAAGATTTTAAAGAGTTTATAGCTAAAAGGAAAGAGAAGTGTGAAATAATGGGAGGAGGTATAGAACTAGCGGAAGTAATAGGTAGGGTAGTAGGGTAAGAATTAGTATTAGCATAGGCTGAAGAGTAAGTTGTTTGGAAAAAATTAGCAAAGAGGTTAGCTACATATAAACCAATCATCAAATCGATTTAAGTTCTGCACCCTTAATCAATTTGCTTTTACATTAAGAGAGTCCATCCAGAATGCCATGAAAATTCTTTATTTAATCATTTTTGTGATATTTTACCTATCTTAAAGAATTATTGTGCAATTGATTTTACCCTAAATTGATGAGTAGTTCAAATTGATTTATTATTAGATTTATAGCGATTGGGTAATGCTGGCGGTATCGTGTAAAATTTGGTAAATCTAGCTGTTATAAGCTATGCGACTTGCTCAAAAATCCGAATTTTAAAATTTGCTTAGAAATGGTGCCAGTTATCAATAACAAACAAGTTCGTACGGCGTGGGCACTGGGAAGACCTAGAGATCGACGCGTTCAAAGACGGACAGAGAAACGGATAGGTCTAGAAGGACCCGACAGCTGCTGCTGACTAAGAATAAAAATACTTTATGGAGATGGAGATGTGTCCTTTTTTTCTGTTACATACATTTGCAAATATTATTTATACCCTTTTTAACCATTTTCAAGGATATAAAAAGAGTTGAATCCACGTATTACCAGGCGGGCTCTTGAGCAGCAGAACTATGATCATGATCTCGAGCATAGATAAGAAAGGAAAATGCAACATTAATACATTCAACTTATACATTTAAAGAGAATCTTAAAGTATGTCAAGGAAATAAGGAACATATAAAATAGTTGAAAAATGTGCCAAAAGAACAAAAAAGAAAGCACTTGAAATACGCAACAAATTATTATTTTCTATTCTCGAATCTATGAAAGAGAATGCGAAATGGGTCATGTGGGACTGGACGAGGTTACTGATCTCATTGATAAATTCTATTGGTTTTCGAGTATAAGAAAAAGTTTACGATGTCCACGAAACAGATTGTTGCCTTTAAGGATAGTTACGCCGTCGATATAGAAAATCGTGGCCACATTTTGGATGCGTTTAATGATGTGCCAGCTAATCCCGATCCCATTGCGTCCAAACTATGCGTGACGTGAAAAGCAAATAATCACAGATAACAAATAAGAAAATGAGTAGGAGTAAGTCCTCACTGTCAGCAGTTACCGGCAACAAGAGTCAAGGGTTTAAGCACGCTTCAATAGTGAGCACAATTGTTTGGGCTTCGTAAGTTTGAGGTTAGCCGCTCAGGTGCCTCTCAAATTAGTGCTGTGTATTTTACTCTTGTTGCAATAAGAGGGCGTTTTACTGAATTGACCCTGTGCACAGATATATCCTATGAAAAGACTTAACCTAGGGTTTAAAACGAAAACAACTGAAAACTGTTGGGCATCAAGACCTGATAAATATATATTGATTCGGCAAGATTAGTAGATGTCCATGTCCATGATTGAAGGTAAAATTAAAATAAATGAATCCCTAAAATCCCGTCTATAATGAATGGAGAAAGATTTGGTATCGCACTCCATATAGATAGAAGTTTCTGGTTCTGCCTAAAACATTTCGGGTTGCACAAGGCGAACTATGGCGCGCAGATTCATGTGCAGTTGTTTCGTTGATAAGTGCCCGCTTCATTTGCGACTCTGGGGTTTACGATTAACGGTTAACTACAACGGTTTCCTATCTCACATCGCCTTTGATGAAGTGAATGACTTTGGTGGCATCATTGCCTGCAATTCAAGGAAAGATATATTGTAAGGATTCTGGGCTTCAATTTGTTTGATATCTGATTGAAATGTTTGGGCTGCACCCTTCACTCTCTGATTCGAAGACGCGTGCCCTGTTCCTTGGTGAACAGATCTCCGACATTTCGTCGGCATTGTGTCAAAAAGTCAGTATTAACGTTGTGACATATAACAATGTATTAATATAAAAACGCGATCGATGTAGTCAATGTCCGATGTCGAAGTGAGCAAATCAAACCGATACTGTAGGTCCTATCTGATATAAACACCTCTTCGGTGTATTATATATTATAAATGCATAGGAATATTTTCCTAAGCTCAGACCCTACAATACGGTAACACTTCAGTGGCAACGCCGTCATAATGCTGATTTTGCAATACCACAATTGTCGCTTATTTGCGGCTGTGGCCAGTGGCTGTTTCCAGAATCGCACGCTCCGCTCGCATGATCGTTGCTGGGCCTTTTGGGTTTAACTGCTCTCCCACAATAATTAAGGATACTCAAATCTTGTGGGAGCGTCTACATCTGAAGAAGAGTAAAGCCGTGACAAAAGTCAATCCGATAGAAAGGCATGTCATGATAACCAGAGGCTTAGAAGTTGATGTCATCTTCTTGGTGTTCTCAAGATTTGCTTCGCTCAATGGGTGCAAGAAGGGTAGACTAGAACTGTCCGGTGTTCTGTATTATTTATATCGGCAGCTCGCTTGGAGAGCTCGTTTCGATTAACAAATCTTGTCCCGTTTACAATTGGGTCTTTCCGGAACGTAATCGTATAACTTTCTCCTACCCAAGCCGGGTTTTCGTCATCTATGGGGAATTCCGATGTCTTGTCGTTAATGATTAGCACGCCATAGTCGGTGGCACTGCAGATGTCTGCCGCCCTTTCTGCAGCTTAACTTTAGTGTACTAAATGAGGAAATTAATAATTTCGGCGCTTAATATAACTTTTATGTCAGTAACCACATGAGGTCGCTGATGCTGACATTTGCAACCTGACTGGTTATTATAAAAATCTTCGGCGCTTAAAATTGTGAGGATTCGGTTGACAGGGTTTCTTAATTTATTATTCTGATCTGTGGCTCTATTGTTGATATTTGACTGTCTACTGTAAGCTTTAATGAGCTGTTTTTCCATTAAACTGGAGCAATATCAAGGTCAGAAGTGCTGGCTATAACCCCTAAGGCTGCTTCTAAAAAAGCTACAACTCAGGCTATTCAGTGATTACAGCTTGCAACAACTTCAACGGCCAGGTGACACTATAGCTAGCCGCTCTCTTTCATGGGTGGTGTAATGCATTTCGATACATTTCAGCGTTTTGAAAATCATTGCGATTGGCTTGCCACCTTATAAGAGCACTGCACCAAAAACTCTTGGATCGCTTTCATATTTTCGGGGTCATTTTTTGGTCGCCCCCAGCGTATGAACGCAAGGATATCAGAACCTATAAGAGCTAGAGAAGTTAAAAATTCGATAACTTGTCGCGTATTCCCTAGTCGGAAGCTCCCGACTTGAACCTCCTACATGGTTAAATTGTAAAATATATTTAGCACGATTAATCATTGCTAACAGTTTTGTTTAACCAATTGTTTTCTAACCATATTTTAGCTTACGGCAGAAACTACATTTGACATGTTGTCTGCTGGACCATCATTAAGCAAGAGTCGGAAATCCAAGCAAGATAGAAAACGACAAGGCCAGCCAAAGGATTTACGTGAAGGTGTTGTCAATGCGATTACAATCGTAAAAGAGGTAATTCCATATGCCACGTATTTATAAATCTTTCTGCAAATTACATTTAATTTTATAAAATATAATAATACGAGCTTCGTAAGAGATACTCCATACGAATACGCTTGTAGGGAAGCTGCTTGCATTCAACGAATGGTCCTCTGTTAATACCATCGACTTGGATACAGGTTTTCGATTTCACAAAGCACAACAGCCTACGAAAATCTTAAACTCATTTTCGTGTTTCCGAACTAAGCCTTTTACAAATTAAAGTTATTTTATATTGATTTTTAAATTCCTCAAATTCTATGCACACAACTTGAGGAAAATAACTTCGAATTATACAAATTTCATAGTAGAAATTTAAAAAGACCAATAACAATAAAGTAAAATAAATTGTCAAATATCAAATACAGATATTAGCTTGATTAAGGGCACTTGCCTAAATACCTATGAGCGCGTATGATTTCTCTCTTGAGAATGTGGTGGGATGGTTTTCAGGAAACATTCGACTCGCGAACAAATATTATTAATATTGTTCTTGAAGCATTTTGCTTTTGCTGCTAGTGGTATATGCAGCATAGTGTGCCCCAAAGACACCGCGCTTTTAATGCTATTTCAAATAGAAGTCCTTGGTAAGCAGGGAAGTGAGATGCCTGCAAACTGGACTTAACTGTCTGAAAATTTCCGAGAGGTCCTATCGAACACTGCGTTCTACACCACCGTGGACGTCTTGGCTGGGGACCAAACTCGAGCGGATTATTTGGTGATAAACGCCAAAACGATGTTCTTCAGTATTCTCCGGGTGTTTTCTTATTAGGTTTGAGAGAGGTATGAATCTAAAGTTAATTCTGCGTCTTTAAATTAACTTAAATTTTCTTCTTCTTGTGACAAGCACCAAAGGGACAGATAACCCGAGGGCAGTTACCCAGGTGGACCAGTGCACCAAGCGAAACACACCTATGCTATTGCTCGTGGTGTGCTTGGCGCAGTGGATAAAGAGCGCTGAGAGGTGCGAGTTCTGGTCGTTGATGCATGTTGGGCACCCGACCTTGCGTTGCCACCCGACAGGATCGCCAGTGAAATGTACCGAAATGACATAAGAGAGTTCTTGTATGCTAGGCAGTTGGGGCGAATTAACATTGGTACTGCCCGAAGACGCGTTTCAGATTTCAGGTTCAGGAAACATTAGCACTTTCATAGTGCTTGAATTCTGCCGCAACCTGAAGAGACCATTTTAATAATGTATAATAGAAAAATAGATGCTGTTTTTTGACAGAAAATCGAAAACACACGTTTTATCTGCCATAACTGATGTACGGCTTTCCTATTGTGCAACTCCTTGAGGTATTCTTCTTGCCAATGGCGCAGAGGCGATACCATGCTTACAAATGGTCCCTGCACTCTCTTGCCTACTTTCTACAATGACATATTTTCTACTGAGGGCCATTAGGTTAGCCGGTAAGCCTTTTATAGGAGTGGCGCTAGAAGGGTTGAAGCGCCTAAACAAATTTCGATGGATGTAAGTGGAAGTAATACACCGCGGAGGTTTCAATGAATGTTTTGCCGTTATCGGAGAACATTTGTTGGGGGTACCCCCGGCAGAATTTTTCGTTCGATAGGCCCGATATATTTGCTAAATGTACGGCTCGTCTTGTGAACCATTTATTTAGGCACGCCCGACCGGTCCAGGTTGGATGAAATTTGTGGTCTTTCCTAGATTGAGTTATGAAATTCAGAACTTGTACCAGAAAATGTGTATCACTTACCGGTTTCTACCATGGACTGAGCTATGACGCGAAAACGGAGCCTGATTTATTTTGCATTTTGGGCTTAGTTTTATAAGTCTCCCTGAAATACAAATCGTATCGCTACTGTTCAAATTATTCACGTCGTAGTAATGATTTCATTTTTTCTATTTCTTTATATATATACTAGCGGGTATTTTCCGGCCTCACCCGTGGAACCTTTTGTGCTTAACATTTTAGATATTACCTTTCCTATTACTACACGCTCGTGGGAAATTGTAATCTAACCGTACCATCTCAAGATGGAGATCAATCTCCAATTCTATTTAAAAATAAGTTGAGAGTGAATCGAATAAAAAACCAAATGATGGAATTAGAGATTTCCGCTCCTATTAGTCTTGTATTAAGAATCTTGAGGGCGACTAAAAAATTGCGTTTACAGAGCCGAATTTTACATCCTATAGCGGTGATCTTTGCAAAGGCGTGTCAAATAAGTTCTGATAATGATCTTTAAAAATGAGTTTAAAACCGATATTGAACGTAATAGTTTTTTCCCCAAATTTCCACCTGTGGAATTTTCAAAAACGCTGAACTCACATATTCATTAAGTTTTTATGTAGAGCTTTGAAAATAAAATACTTTTAATCACATTTATACCAAACTAGATTGGATTCTGCGAAAGCGTGAAACACGTCTCAAACGATTCTTCTTATCGATCTTTGGAAATACATTTGTACACGAAAAAAAAACCGACGAAAAATGTCTTTGCTCGTGCCTGCTGCGTAAAACCATAACTTTTTGTGTTTCTTTCTCCGTTATTTATTCTGTCCTACAAAAACTGTTATTTTACAGACAACCTGTTAATTGCGAACTTTGTTTTAAAGACAACGAAATTGAACAGCACCTATTGGGTCCCTGCATTTATCAATTTTGAGTTGGGTGGCCACCCGTACAAAAATGTACAAGGAAGATCAAGTAAAAATGATGTCTAAAGAAAACCTCATAGCTGAGGACAACGACATCTTCAGTTCAATAGTTGAGTCTTATTTAGTACCTGATTGTGATGTTCCTGCATATTTTAATTATATGAATGTTTTCATATCAAACAGCAGATTTCTCTGAGTTTTATCACGTAGCACTGTTACATAAAGTCATGCAACTAATAATCTTATGTTTGATGATAATTTACAATATACAATTTTTAAAATTTTAATAATGTTTCTTTATTACATTTTTGTACTTGCAGGGAATAAATGAATCGGCGAACACACTTTTGGACGCAGCAATTGTGGAGCATGACCAAAAAGGGTATAGTGCTGCAGTTGGGGCAGTTGTCAGGCAAATACCTCAGTTAGTTGTGTGCCCGGCTGTTTTGGCAACTCAAGCAACTACAAACATTTTAGGAGGAGCTAAAAGTTCTCTTGTCCCGGAAGCGAAACGTGAAGCTACAGACAAGTGGAAGCATGCAAAAAAATAAATTATAATAAAAAGGGGTTTCCATTAATATCAGTGCATTTTAATATATAATTTTATTAAATAAATTAGCATCAATTTGCTGTTTATTATTATTATTAATATTGTGCGGTCGGGTGTTTTGTCTATTAATACTTTGAACATCTCACCGCCTCCATGTAACGCTTTTAAGAGCTTGTAGCTATGTCTACTGGATGGCTTAATATATGGTTTTTCTGTGATTTTTTTTTTCAGGAAAAGAAGAAATAACCGCTAATGACTAAAGCATTGTAACACTCGCAACTATAAAGTCCTACTTCCGGTCACCACTCCTTGCAAAGTTGCGATTGGTAAAATTGGTAGCGTCAATGTCGCTTTGTGCACCTCTCCGCAAGCTCGTGCCTTTATAATTGAAATTTGATTCCATAAAAAAATTATTTCTTCTTGATGATAAATTTTGGAGATCTAATTAATTTGATTTAAACCTTGTTTTCGTAGCTTCAGTATTTCGGTAAATAAAATAAAAAAGTCGATTGCCCTATCGGAGTAATTGCATTGATTATTTAAAGTACTATTAGATTGATAATTTGAACATGTATTAAATAAGCCTGAAAATAGATGAATTTAACACGAAATGAATATTAATTTTGACGTCAGTCCACTTGCCAGTAGAAGACCGGTGCATCTAGTAATTAACTAATTAGTTGAAAAATAGCACGATGATCTGAGTTATCGCAGTTATCGCAGCTTTATATTTATTTAAGTAAATATTGTGAAATCACTTTATAAGATTGAACCGAAAGACCGATCCCGACGAATATTGAAATAAATAATGGTGGGTCAACATAGTCCTTAATTTCAGTATCGTCAGCTAACGCCACGTGTATAATATAAATCAAAGCGAAATGGTTACCAACGCGATCAAAAATAAAGTAACGAAAACAGTTATATTAACGCCCAACTCCCAACGGACAAGGAACAGCCGAATCAGCACCCCATCACCGTCTCCAAATTTAAAAAACAATTATTAAAGCAGTATGAAACTGATGTAAGTGGAGTGTTTGCTTGGTCAAGTTTAAGAGAAAAGTTTTGTAAGACACATAGAAAAAAAATTAAACTTCTGCATTTCTTAATAAAAGCTAATAAGGGGCTCTAGTAGAAAGTTCCCGACTAGGAGGATACCTTAAACCCACTTCTACCAACAACAAATGCTGAGAGCGTTATCAAAAATTGATTTGCCTTAATAGAACTCGAATTCGTTAGGGCCATGCAACTTGCCACCGCCTCTACTCGAAAGCCATAAATCAAAAAAATAAAAATACATGCAATTGTAAGGCTGCTTATAGAATTTCCAGAGCGCTGGATAAGCAAATACCAATAGTCAGTGATTTACTACTCCCACTCTCGATGATTTCCAGAGCGCTGGATAAGCAAATACCAATAGTCAGTGATTTACTACTCCCACGCTCGATGACCAACCGCCCTCGGTTGCGTTTAGGTCTTCCAGTAACTTCGAGATTTTTCGGGAGTTTTGGCGTTTGATCACCTGCTGATTAAGCCAGTAGACTCCAGCCCCCACAGCACAAGCTAAAAATATAATGCCAACGGAAATTGACGATTGGTTCCAACTGAGACACCGTCTCTAAATTCTTTGATGTAGTAAAGGTTCTCCTCACTTAGACGATGAATGTAGGGATGGCTGAGCACCGTGACTTCTGATATTTACTAACCGGGATTCTGCAACTGCTGGGAACCGATCTTGCACGCTCATTCGAGTGGTGTATCGCTTGCCATTTACAGTGACATGGGACGAGAAGCTGACAAGGTTTGTCTCATTTACTTTCATTGCGGCGCAGTCGTCATAACTAAGTATTGCACTGCGATCGTTTATGATGATGGTGCCGTCGTCTATTACGGTGACGGGGTCGAGGTGACTCGGCTGCGATTGCAAAGAACCGTGCCTTCTTGCGCGCAGCTGCTGCTCTCGGACTGCTTGCAGAATGTGGCAGTTGCTGTTTGTGGACAATTAGTCACAGCTACAATTGGCCATCACAATAAACCACCAAAGTGCCATGAAGTTGAAATACGGAACCATTGTGGGCGATTGGGAAAATGGTTATCTTTCTGCATTCCTTGCTTATTATAGGGAACTGAATAATGAATGTTTTTACATTCTTCTTATGTTCTACTTTAATATACGATTCTTTCAAAATGTGTATTACGGGGGTCCATGTGACTTGGTCAGTGAGAATATTCATTAAGTTATATTGATTAATTATTGTTGGGTTTATTACATTTATTTTTGCTGAGGTAAAAGTAAGTATTAGGTTTCCTATATTTGTTATTATCATTCTGTTGCGAGTGCTTGGGGTTTCACAAAGGTGGCCTGCTCATCTTTTGAGGATTTGAGAATTGTGCTTACGGTGTTGGTCAGTTGGTTAATCTTTCCTTGTACTTACCAATTTATGGAAATTTGTCTATTGCTTGCGTCTGCGTAACTTTTTATACCCTGGACCCATTAAAAATGGGTATAAATGTATATTGTATTTGTGGAAAATCCAAATGTATGTAACAGGCAGAAGGAAGCATCCTTGACCCCATAAAGTATATATATTCTTGATCAGCACCAATAGCCGAGTCGATCTAGCCATGTCCGTCTATTTGTCTGTCCGTATGTATGAACGTAAGGATCTCAGAACCTATAAGAGCTAGAGACTTGAAATTTTAGATGTAGGTGCTCTTAGTGCCTGCGCAGATCGAGTTTGTTACTAACTTACTCCGTTTCCAAGCAATCGATAAAAATCGATATCGATATCCTGTTTTTGTGGGGACGACATGTCCAGTGTCAACTTCCAGCAACTTCCCGTTAGTTTCATAGTCTCTTCAGTCATCTTCTTGTAGTCTGTGGGGTTGGTATTGTTACGTAAGTACCCATGGAGTTTTTAACACCTGGCTATTTCCAGCAGGATGCTGTGAAAGCGCTCATTAGCCTGCTATTAAGAGGAGGCGCGTTTACCACTCTGATTATTCAATTATTCAATAGCAGAGACTTAATGGTCTCTGACTTGAGAGCGGCCACCGCAAACTTAGAGAATTTGTGTACGCAAGTCTAAAAGAATATTTCGTCTGTAGAGAAAATGTCGATATGTAACAAATTTTACAATTCAAGACAACCTCGTTAGCCAATTGGTTAGTTTAGGGAAATAGTATTCTGACATGACCTGTTTCACATTCTCCTGGGCCGCCCTATGGGCCTGATGTATTCTTTAGTGATGAATTCTCTTCTATCACTGCCGTCAAACATGTCGTGGTTTTTGCATTAAAAAAACTTTGAGTTCGGACGTTTCGGCTTACGACGGTCTTTGTTGTTTTAATTAGGGTGAAATTTATTAGTTGGCGAATTTTTACGATGAAAAGAATGGAATTCCTCTTTAAAGGGGAGCGAGCCTCCTCTAATACAATCTGGTTCCGGAAGCACACTGATACTGTGAATCATAGCCGCGTCAGATTCTGGCTCATCGCGATCTCCCTGCAGGGTGTTCACGTTCTGACGCGACAGCGCGTCAGCTACTGATTTTTTTGCCAGGCCTATAGAAAAGCTACCTTTCTAGACATGTACTTGCTAGTGGACCTGCTTTCTCCATACAGGAGATCGGTTTTGCTATTGCCGCAAATAAAGCTTTGATAAAACAGCGGTAAAAGCTTGCCAAGCCCAAAAATAATCTTACACTGAATACTGTAATCGGCTCAGCGTATTGCCGGATAGCTTTTACCTTTTCTGGTTCTGACTTCGTACCATTCTTAGTCATTATTAAACCGAGATACTTAACGCATTTTTTTAAAAATTGTGAATTCTCGTGTGCCATGCGTATTTTCGCGTATAAAAGGCTTTTTAGAACCCAGTAGTCGTGATCTGACGCGTTTCCAAAAATTCGATGAAGTCATCGACGTAAGCATATCATGATTTTCTAATTTGCTCGCAAAGAACTTCATCTATTGTTCTTTGAAAAATGTTCGCTGCATTCTTCAAACCAAGCGGGAGTCGACAAAATGCTTACTTTCCGCCGTTATTCGAAGAGCTCTGAAGCGAAAAATCTTCCCCATCCCTAGGATAAGTGTATAATTTTGAGTAGATCATATTTTCGATTGTACGAATCGTAACCAAGACAGGCGTGTTATAAGGCAGAGCTTCGTTAGAGTCCACAATAGCCTTGTTATTGCGGTGGTGCCTCGATATGTCTGTTCTTCGTGTGATTGACGTACATTTGTACTACTGCAACGCCTCCGAGGTCGTACCATATTTCAAAATGTCCTCTTTAAAACGTTTGATTCCAGAGACGAATACGCCGAGCGTACCACTAAATTGTGGCCGTTGCAACAATCATGTAATATAAAATGTGAGCAACGTGAGTTTATTTTTAACCTCATCGTAGTATTCTGGTATGGGCATGCTGTCCTGCCTAAGCGTTCCTATTTCCTGCTCGATCACATGGATAGGCCGCCTGCCGCTATACTTGTAGTCCAATCTTACTATGACGGCCTTGAAGTTTAACGAAGTGTTAAACGAAGCGAGAACCACGTCCGCCGAACCTCAGATTTCATTCCAACTATTAAGATGTATTGGTAGTGACGGAAGCCTCCGTCGTATTTTCTGAAAAGTCCGTAGGCGCCATGCCCGGCCTTTAAGATTCGTAGGTGTCCTTAGTCCCATGGAATTCAGCAAGGCATCTTACTGCGTCAAGGGGCTCGTTGCATTCAACCCCCTCTATAATATCGGCCACTTTGTTAACGTTCACTTCCGATACCGATAGTTGTGTGTTACTTATCATACTTGACACCTGCGAAATTAAGTGTTCAAGATCCTGCCTTAGCCTAGCTTCCCTATTAACAGATTCCTGCGCTTGTGCTGCGAGCACGCTCTGCACTGTGGCATCATAATGCGCATCTGCTCCGGATCCATAGCTAAATCTGTTTTTGTGTCTTGCTCAGTCGGAATAGCACACCTTGATAAAGTGTCAAGTCCTCCTATTAAACGTTGTTGATCGTGTGCGT